GCTAAGCAAAATAAGCCAATCAGAGAAAGACATATATCACATGATCTCATTTATTTGTGCAATATAATGAGCAAAATAAGCTGTTGAACAAAACAGACCCAGAGACAAAAGTAGGGAACAGACTGACAAACCTCAGAGAGAGAAGGGGTGAGAGGGCAGGAAGAGATAAACCAAAGAACTTATATGCGTATATCCATAACCAATGGACATAGACAACAATGCTGTGAAGGTGGCTAGTGGGGAGAGAAGCGGGGAAGAGGGTGTCAATGGGGGGAAAAGGAGGGGCATCTGTAAGAAAAATAAATTAATTTTAAAAATTAAAAAAAAAGGTCTGGGTTCAGTACACTCCCCAAACTTCAGATAATCATGTCAGCCAACTACAGTAGGATAGGATATGTGCTGTGTGTAATGCATACTTGCACACACACACTATGTAGGATGGGCTGGAGAGGAACACAAGGAAGGGAGTCCGAGGATTCCTGGCATCTAAGCACTCTTCCTTTGTCACTGCACCAGCAGATGTTCATGAGCTGACCTGGGCCTTGGCCAAGCTCTTGGCTCCTGCTGAAGCAAAGCCTAAGCATATCCCTCAAAAAAGTGGCCTCTTTAAAGACTGGGCTGGGGAGCCCTATCCAGAGACAGAAAAGTTCCCTGATAAAAAGAAGAAAAGGGGAGGGGAATACATAGGGAAAACAGGGCATAGGAAAGACAGCAGAGAAACAGGAGAGTCAAGGTTCAGAGGCAGTATGAGTTAGAATTCAGAATTGGGGCATCTGGGGAATGTCCTTCACAAAATTCATCATCGTCAGGATCATCTTAACAACTGGTCCCATTTCCGTCTCAGAAAGAGACTTCAGGGTAAAATGAGAGTCTATGTAGGTTCTTGGGGTCTGAGGTTTGATCAGAGAAAAGGATGCCAAGAAACAAAGCAAATTCTTGTTGCCTTCAGAGCCAAGAAACTAACACAGCACAGGGTGCTGGCAGGTGGGCAGCCAGCAGGCCCTCAGCTAATTTCCCAACATGGGCTGTAGAGGAGACACTGACAGAATACAGATGGTGTTTGTTTGGACAGGGAAAGAATGAGATGCTTTATTGCAAGGGAAGGAGGTGTCCATGATTGAAGCTATCGAATAAAACAACTAGACCCATTTCCTAGACCACTCATGATCTTTGTTTTCAAGTTGAAATAAATATCAGTGAAGACTTCCTTCTAGCTACATATGGTGGACTAAACATTCACATTCATCTCTGCTCCTTCCCAAAACCCTATTAAAATAACTGGACCCTAAAATAACAGGATGACAAGATCTAACAGAGAGAATGTCTCCAAGACAAATGAAACAGAATCAACAGATTATCTGATGTACTGAGAATGAATGTTTAATTCTATCTATCCTACAAAAATTAGTGGTAATGCCCAGCCAGTGCGGCTAGAGGGTGAGCGTCTACTCATGCCCCAAGAGGTCACTGGTTCGATTCCTGGTCAGGGCACATGCTCAAGTTGTGGGCCCAATCCCCAGTGGGGGGCAGGCAGGAGACGGCCAATTAATGTGCTCTCTCATTGATGTTTCTATTTCTCTCTCCCTTCCTCTCTGTTAAAAAATTAATAAAGAAACTGTACCTCAGTTGCAGGTTGTCCCCAGCCCTGATTGGGTAGTACGGTGGCAGCCACTAGATGTGTACCTTTCACATCGATGTCTCTCTCTCCCTCTCTCTCTCTCTCTCTCTCTCTCATTCTCTCTCCCTCCCACTCTATCTGAACAAAAAATGGAAAAATGTCCTCGGGTGAGAATAAAAAATAAAAAAAAGGGCAATTATACTGGCTTTCAGATTTTTAAAAAAAGTTTTCATATTAAGAAAAACTATAGTGGACTTCCAGTCAAGATAAAACGCAGTATCGGGTCCTCCCACAGCCACATCAAAGTTACAACTAAACTTCAGAACAACCATCATTCAAAACTGCAAGCTGAAAAGAAGTCCTACAACTACGAAACTAAAGCAGCCACCACATAGAGACTGGTAGGGGGGCAGAGGTGCGACGGGCTGGTCCCACACCCACGTGTGATGGATAAAAATCAGGAGGGACACCTCGGCTGGGAAGGTCCTCCCTGAGGACTGAGGGGTCCCTGTCCCACACCAGGCACCCAACTCAGGGTTCCAGTGCCAGGAAGAGAATCCCCATAACTTCTGGCTGGAAAAACCAGCGGGAACTGAGACTGAGGGAGCCTGAGGCAGCTGGAGCCCCACACAGCTCCTCTTAAAAGGCCCACGCACCACCTTACTCAGACTCGCACCCTCCAGGCTCCAGCATGGGGGGGGGGGGGAGCTTGAAAGTCACCAAAGACATACGGGGAAGAACTGAGTGGTTTGGCATTGGAGTGAGGGCTGGAGAGGCAGCTTTCTCCTGGACAGACCTCCTGGACAAACGTGCTGTCAGAGGCCTTTGTTCCTTTGGTGAGCCCTTCCTTGGGGCAGCAGACAGCCACCATATCTGGGACTCCAGCAACTTGTCTCACACTGGTTGCCCTGCCCTGGTGATTCCCTGAGGCCCTGCCCCACCCAGCTTTCAGACCCACCCAAGCTGTTGCCAGTTGCTTTACCACAGGATTGGCCTGTCTTGGATCCTGCTTCAGGTTTTCTTGAATTATTTCAAACAAGCAGCATCTGGTCTCAGCTAGCCCCATACCTCTCATTAAGTAATACATAGAAAACACAGGGAGGCAGCCAAAATGAGGAGACAAAGAAATAGGTCCCAAGTGAAAGAACAGAACAAAATTCCAGGAAAAGAACTAAGCGAAATGGAGATAAGCAACCTAACAGATTCAGAGTTGAAAACACTGCTTATAAAAATGCTCAATGAATTTAGTGAGAACCTCAGTGAACTTACTGAGGGCCTCAAGAGCATAAAAAAGGACCAGTCAGAAATGAAGGAGGCACTAACTGAAATAAAGAATAATTGACACAGATTCAATAGTAGAATAGGTAAAGCCAAGAAGCAAACCATCCATTTGGAATAGAAGGAAGCAAAAAACACCCAATCAGAACAGCAAAAAGAAAAAGGAATCCAAAAAAAATGAGGATAGTGTAAGGAGCCTCTGGGACAACTTCAAGCGTGCCAACATTAGCATCTTGGGGTACCAGAAGGAGAAGAGAGAGAACAAGAAATCGAAAACCTGTTTGAAACAATAATGGCAGAAAACTTCCCTAACTTGGTGAAGGAAACAGACATACAAGTCCAGGAAGCACAGAGAGTCCCAAACAAGATGAACCCCAAGAGGCCCACACCAAGACACATCATCATCAAAATGCAAAAGGTTCAAGACAAAGAGAGAATCTTAAAAGCAGCAAGAGAAAAGCAGTCACTAACCTACAAAGGAGCTCCCATAAGACTGTCAGCTGATTTCTCAAAAGAAACTTTGCAGGCCAGAAGGGAGTGGCAAGAAATATTCAGAGTGATGGAAAGCAAGAACCTACAACCAAGATTACTCTTGCTGCAAAGCTGTCATTTAGAATCAATGAACAGATAAAGAGTTTCCCAGATAAAGAAAAGTTAAAGGAATTCATCACCACCAAACCATTATTATATGAAATGTTGAAGGGTCTTCTTGAAGAAAAAGATAAAATATATGAACAAACAAAATGGCAATGAATACATATCTATGGACAATTGAATCTACAAACAAAATAAATAAGCAGAACAGAAACATACTCATAGATACAGAGAACATTCTGTTGGTTGCCAGATGGGAGGGGGATTGGGGGAATGGGTGAAAAAGGTGAAGAAATTAAAAAGTACAAAGTGGTTGTTAGACTGACAAATCTCAAAGGGAAGGGAGGTTAGGGGTGGGAAGAAATAAACCTAGAACTTATATGTATATATGCATAACCAATGGACACAGACAACAATGTGGGGAAAGGCAGGAGGGGGGCGGGAGTGGGGAAGAGGGGGTCGATAGGGGAAAAATGAGGAACATCTGTAATACATTCAACAATAAAGATAAGTTAAAAAAAAAAGAAAAACTATAGTTATAATACATAACTTAGCTCAATTGTAGAAATAATATTAGGGGAATAAACAGAGGGGAAGGATGTATGTATATAAGGGAAAAGTCTATGAAAGTTCAATCTTATTCTTCTGCGAGAAGTCAACAGATAATATCTAAAACTATTCCAAAAATAATGGTATAAACAAATTGTTTAGATAAGTGGAGATAAATAGCAAATGAAACGGCTTGTAGCTGAATCAGAGCCTGCATTTTCATTCTTTTAGCATTGGAAGTGAGTGGCTCTAGAGCAAGACTTGGTGTGGAAATGCAGAGTAGGGGACTCTGGCTTACCATTATAAGCCTCGCAGCAGCATTTGACTTTTCTTTTTTTTTTTTTTTTTTATCCTCACCCGAGGACATTTTTTCCATTTTTTGTTCAGGTAGAGTGGGAGGGAGAGAGAGGAACAGAGAGAGAGAGAGAAACATCGATGTGAAAGGAACACATCGAGTGGCTGCCACCCGCACAACCGACCAGGGCCGGGGACAAACTGCAACCGAGGTACGCGCCCTTAGCGGGAACCGAACCCGGGTCTCTCAGGACCACAGGCTGACGCTCTAACCGCTGAGCCAAACCAGCCAGGGCAGCATTTGACTTTTCAAATCCTGTTTCAAGAACACTTTGACCAAAACAGAAATTTTCTTAAATATCAAAAAGATTTATTTCAAGCCTAGCTCAAATTACTCTTCTCCCATGAAGTCTTCTCAGATCTGTTTCCTCTTCTCTCATTAAAATTACTATCTATATCATCCATCTGGCAATTAATCATTTTATAGTTGGCAATGAGAGGAACTCTTATATTGCTAATGATCTTTCCACCTGTGTCTTGTCTCCCTGACTAAATCATAGCTGCTTCACAGCACAGTGCACTTCTCACAATCTTTGATCATCCACAGCAGATCAGGTTATTGAATACACAAGCTTGGAGGAGGTGTGGCAGCCCACCTCCCCATTACCTGCATAAGCATTGGCCTGCTGCAGAAGGTCGGTGCAGGTGTGCACATCTGCAAACGCACGGATGCCCAGGCAATTGGTGGGATGCAACTGAGACTGAAGGAAGTCACAGCAGTTCTGCCGTACATCCATGAGCTGCAGCAAGCTGGCTGCTGGAAGCAGCACCTGGAGGAGAAGGTGACATTCTGAGACAGTGGATCCCTCCAGCAGGACCTTATCTCCCTAAAGCACTGTTCTAATCACTTCCATGCTCAAGGCCCTTGCCTGGCTCTCCAATGCCTGCTCAAGTCAATCCAAACTTCCTGGTCTAGCCATCAGGACAGCACAAGCCTTGTGTCCCACTACTCTCCACTGCATGGACTCGAAGCACCAGCCTATTCTCTGTATCACTCAAGTCCACAGCAGTGCTTCCCAATTGCTAATGTCTATATTAATTCCCTGGGGATCTTATTAAAATGCAGATTCTGAATTCAATAGGTCTAGGGTGGGACCTGAGTGCCTGCATTTCTAACCAGCACCCAAGTGAAGTTGTAGCTGCTGGTTCATAAAACTGCACTTTGAGTATCAAGACACTTAACTGAATGTTTGTGCCACACCCCCATAATTTATATGTTAAGGTCCCAACCCCCAATGTGATTGTATTTGGAGACAGAGCCTGTGAAGAAAAGTAACAGGGGTTAAATGAGGTCACAAGAGTGGGGCTCTAAGGAGCCCTTACCAGAAGAAAAGAGTATCACTGTTCTCATTCTCTCTCATTCTCTCTCTCTCTCTCTCTCTCTCTCTCTCTCTCTCTCTCTCAGCATAAACATCTGTTATTTAAGCCATCCAGTCTGTGGTATTTTGTTATGATGTCCCAACCAGACTATGATAGATTGATTCTTCTACTTGGCTACATGTTAAAATCACCTAGAGCATTTAAAAAAGATTGATGCCTGGGTCTCACCCCCCTTTAAAGACTCCGAATTAAGAGGAATGATGTGGGCCTGGACAGCAAGATGTTTCTAAAGGTCCGCAGGTACTTCTGATGTACAGCCATGTCTGAGACCCACTCCCCTACAGCCTTCGCATACTGTATTCACATAGGAAGGTACTCATTGAATTGTTCACTAGCTGATTCACCACTTAACTGCTGAATGTCTGTGAGCAGGCACTGGTCTAGGCTCTAAGATTCGGTGGTGAGCATGATAAGCCAGACCTCTACTCTAATGGAGCGTATAATCCACTGGAACAAGAGAGTCACCCACAAATCCCTCGGGACACAGATAAACATCTTTTATTCTTCAATTCCAACAGATAAAGAGAACAACTTTAGGTACATTCTCAGAGAAAACAGAGCTGAGTTTCCTTTTATTTTATTTATTTTATTTTATTTTATTTTTTTTATCCTCACCTGAGAACATTTTTCCACTTTTTTATTCAGATAGAGTGGAAAGGAAAGAGAGAGGGAAAGAGAGAAACATCGACATGAAAGGGACACATCGAGTGGCTGCCTCCCACACGACCCAACTAGGGCCGGGGACAAACTGCAACCGAGGTACATGCCCTTAGCGGGAACCGAACCTGGGTCTCTCTGTACCGCAGGCCGACGCTCTATCCACTGAGCCAAACTGGCCAGGGCGAGCTGAGTTTCCTTTTAAAAGGACACATGAGCACTTGTACTATTTCCTGGAAGAGAGAAATTTTCCTGCTCAGGTGTGTTTGCATGTGTTTTTCCTAAAAGCCAGGGAAGACTGGCTTGAGCAGGCCAGACGGTGCTCCGCCTGTCAGCCCTTTCAAGTTCCCTGGGCCTTTCTCACACTGCTGAGGCCTGCCCTCTGAATCAAAAATCCTGGGAGATGGCCAGAGCCCTACTTGACCCAGCTCTCCTTCCTCTTACCCCATCCTGTGGAGAAGGTCAAGTGTATGATCATGACCTTCAAAAAGGAAATTTAGGGAAAAAATTAAGTAATAGAACAGTTTGATTTGAGGCTGCTTAGCTTGCTCTCAATGAGGAAAGACCTTCCAACTACAAGCTTATTAAACGTCTCCTTCATGTGGCTGAGTTCTAGAAAACATGCTCCTCTTCCCTTCCTCCACCCTCTTCTACTCTCCTAGATCCCCAGCAGCACAGCAGTAAATTAGCAGTGTGCTTGGTATTTTCTGAACCCTGATTCATTCCAGGGAAGGAACAAGATAAAAAATCACCCACTCTTGAGTTTCAGATCATAAGTGAACACAGCCAGGCTCGAAATCTGACCACTTAAACTCCATTCTCACTAGGCAGCCACCATCCCCACTAAGCAGCCATAAATCGAGAAACTCAATTAAGTTGTGAGCTTGCTCGCCCTAGCCAAACAGATTCCAGGAGAGATTGGTCTCCGCCTGCTAGTTAAAGGGAGAACCATTAACCATTCTTGTTGAATACATACCAGGAATGGAAAGCTCTGTTCCAAATTCCCAAATGGCCTCCATGACGGCCCCCCACACCCTAAGCAGCCCCGGTGGAGAGGAGTAATCAAATGTTGTCCAGCACACACCCTACTCAGTGGTGTGGCAAGCCCCCAAAGGGTCAGGGGTGATTAGAGACAGGAATGGGACAGCAGCCCTTTAGCCCCGAAGACGAGGATTTCTGAGAGTCCTATCTGCCCCCAGATTGCAGTCCCAGTCAAACCAAGGTGAGATCATGTCAGGGACACCCACACCCCTCCCCCCTGCTCCTTCTTCATCACAAGGACAGCAGCACGATTTGGTGCTTAAATTCTCAAACTTGTGACAATCATAAAATAACAATAATAATAATACTTCCTGAACATACTCCTTAGGTTATGACTTTCAGTTTTTAAAATCTCCCTGGATAGAGCTACCCACATAGCTTTCAACTTCCTCACTGTTCACAAAACCCACTCAGTAGGCAAAAATGATAAGGCTTTCCACCCCACCCCACCTGTTTGGGTCCTCTCCTGCCCAAAAGTGTTTCCAAGTTGACTTCCTAAAATAAATGGAGCTGGTGGTTTCTCTAATTGCTCCTTCCCTCTCTGATCTTACACTGTGATTAGCTGTGAGTCAAAGGCCCTTTTCTTCCCACTATTTGCTTCATACAGGAAGGCGGAAAGGAAAGGAAAGGAAGTCAGAATGCTGAGGGGGAGGTTTGGGGGAGATATATCACTGCTGAAACTCTGAGTCTCAAGGATAAACTGGGCCCATTCCAGGTTCTGGGGGCTACACAGCAGAACAAACACAAATCCCCAGAGGCTGTGAAAGAAAAGAGAGCCTACGTCCATGAGGGGCTGATTCACCTCCCTCTCCTGCATCAACAAGAGCTTTCAGAGGATTTCCTCTTCTCTTATCTTGCCTGCAACTTGACTCCCTCAAGTGGCAGCAGTAACAAGATTGCAAACAAAAGGCCAAGCGTGGGTCCTCAGCTTTGAAGAAAAACTGTCCTGATGGAATCACCAGGACAGTGCTGGTGGCCGAGGAGGCTGAGACCTGAGAAAAAGTAACTGGCTGGAACCACAGGGATGGAAGATGACCCTAAGTTAAAGCTTGTAGCTTGCCTCTCTCCACCTCAAAATTATGGCTCTGGGGAAACAGGCCCCGGCATGACCCTCAGCAAAGAGTTTATAAGCTCCCCTCCAGCTTGCAGATGGCCTCCCCTCCATTTTTCACGTGCAGGCCCCGTTTTGTTTTTTCTCTCCCTTGGATAACATGAAAACACAGCAGAGGATATCCCGTCACAGAGTTTATTTCCTTTAACAAAAACAAAAGGAAATGCCCTGCCTCAGAAAGCACCTACTCCTGGAATTTGAGGGAGGCAGGGCCATGGGCAAATGGAGGGCACCAGCCACAGGGCCAGGTGATAGGCCTGCCCACGTCCTCTGCCCCAGCCACACTGTGAGTCTGTCTCTGCCAGCACCAGGTATGAGACCTGGCACAGAAAGTGTTAAATTAAACATCTGCTAAGAAAAAAAAAAAGAAAAGGAGAGGGGGAAGGGGGAGAGGGAGAGGGAGGTAGGGGAAGGGGGGGAGATGTGTATAGGTGCACAGGAGAACTAGCAGAAAAGCACCGTGATTAAAAGTCTTGCTTGGATTTTCTCTACTTACAGGCCATGTGACTAAAGGCAAATTACTTAACCTCTCTGTGTCTCTATCTCAACAGTACAATGAAGATAAAAACAGTACTACCTTAAAGTCTTGTTATGAGGACAAACAAGATAATACATTTAAAGCAGTTAACATGGTGCTTGATGCATAGGGAGTGCTCAGTAAAATTAGTTTTTATTATTATTATGAGCTGAAGTCAAGATTCTGATCATTCATTTAACAAGAAACTCAGGTTCACCACATCAACAGAGCACAATGAGTCAGACAGGGCTGGATTCAAATTCCAGCTCTATCTCTTAATACCCATGTGACCATGAGTACTACTCACTTAGCCATTTTGAGTATCCTTCAACTATAAAAGAAGGATCAAAGACAAATATTCCACTGGTGGTTAGAAGAATTAAATGAGCCCGGCCAGTGTGGCTTACTGGTTGAGCATCAAACCATGCACCTCGAGGTCACCAGTTCGATTCCCGGTCAGGGTACATGTCCAGGTTGTGGGCCCAATCCCCAGTGGGGGGCATGCAGGAGGTGGTCAATTGATGTTCTCTCTCATCGATGTTTCTATCGCTCTTTCCCTCTCCCTTCCTCTCTCTAAAAATCAATAAAAATATATAGTTTTTTAAAGAATTAAATGAAATAATGCGTGTAAAATGATCGACACATGCTTGGCAGTTATGACAATTGTTACCTCCACCACAGAAAAGCAATTCAGGATCTCCAAGGTACATGTGGCTAGGAAGAGATTACGGGCATAGCTCTCCCAGCCATTTAACCGAGCCCCAAATCTCAGACTCTTGTGTGTAAGACTTTCAGGAGAGCCCCAGTGCCTCCACACTCACCTTCTCAGTGCACCAAATCTTCAAATATTGACATAATAGACACCTGTGGGCAACTGTCTCAGAAGATACATAACAGCCTGAAGAAGAAGCCACGTTTTGGTCCAGACTTTCTCTCTTCAACCTTTTTTGTTTTATTTTCCCCCAAGGTCACCCCTGACCAAACCATAATTTCAAGTGAGGAAGAAAAAGTAAAATAGTATATACTCATCGAGTCCAAATAATGCACAGCTCCCCGAAGGTTCCACCTGTGCTTCCCAGCAGCTCACAGTGCTCTCTGTGCCCATACTGTCTGTTGGCATACAGGGTGGCACACTTCTAAGTGCCTAACCTAAATTAATGCATTTAATCCTCACATCAACCCTATGTGGTTAAGTACTACTTAAGTATTATGCACATATTATAGTTGAAAACACTGAGGCACAGAGAAGTTAAATAACTTGCTTAGGGTCCCACAGCTAGAAAATGGCAGAGCCAGGATTTGAAGGCAGACAGTCTGACTCATGACCATCCAATAATGTGGGTACTATTCTGATTCCTGTTTTACAGATGAGAAAACTGATCCTTAAGGCAGGATGTGTGGGTGTCAGAGAAGCTCTAGTAAGAAGGAGAGAAAACAAATCAGAGGCTGGCTGAGTGTCTTCTCCAGCCAGAGGTCACTGAGTCTCAGGCCCTCATTTTACAGACGGGAAACTAACACCCTAAAGTAGAAGGGACTGGAATAAGAGTACTCCGAGAATCAATGGTAAAGTTGAGGCTTAGACCCAGCTCTCCATTCATACGCAATGCCTGCCTCATCTCTACTTCTGCATGTCCTCTGAACCTGCACATCTTCACTCTGGCCCCCTATTCCCACCCCTACAAAGTAGTTTTTCTTTAAAATAAGGTGAAGTCATTTTCTCCAGAGTTCTCTAATCTATCTGCTGATACCTCCCTTAAGAAAGCTGGTATTAGAGAGACCACCACTGGGCTAGCCCAAAGCTGCAAAGATAAATACCTAGCCAGGTGAAAACGATGCAGAGTGAAACATCTTTTAATTCTCTAGTTTGTACATACTTTGTACTTTTCTTTTCTTAATAATTTTTCTTTATTGATTTGAGAGAGAGAGAGAGAGAGAGAGAAGCACCGATGAGAGAGAACATCGATTGGCCGCCTCCTGCATGCCCCTGGTCAGGCCCACAACCTGGGCATGTGCCCTGACCAGGATTCAAACTGGCGACCTCTTGGTGCATGGGTCAATGCTCAACTAATGAGCCACACTAGCGATACTTTGTACTTTTCAAAAAAAAGTTATTAAATAAATACATGATGAAAAGGGAAGAAAAAAGCTGGTTTCAATAATAAATCCCACAACCTCCCCTACAAGTACTGTTTTGGGGGGTTTGTTTTAGTTTTGTTTTAGTAACTTAAAACAACACAAATTTATTTTCTTACAGTTCCAGACGTCCTAAACGGGCCTCGTTAGGCTAGAATCAAGGTCTCAGCAGGGCTGAATTCCTTCTGAAAACCCTGAGGGAGAATGTTTCCTTGCTTTTCAAGCTTCTGGAAGCCACCCACATTCCTTGGCTCCTGGCCCCCTATTTTCAAAGCCAAAAACATCTCACTGAGTTTTTATCAAGTCACATCTCTCTGGTTCTTCTTATTTTGCCTCCGTCTTTCATTTTAAAGAGCCCTTGCTATTACATTGGGCCCACCTAGATAATCCAAGGTAATCTCCCCATCACACGTTCAGCTGACTAGCAACATTAATTTTATCTGCAAAGTTAGAAATCTTTGACATTTAACCTAAAAGATTCTGGGGATTCGGATGTGGAAGGTGATGGTAATTTGATATAACTATCATCCATTTAAAAAATTATTTTCAATACATGCCCTATACTCATTTAATACTAAATTATTTGTACTTACTACCTAAAAGTCATTGCTAGACCCGGGATGTAACCATTGCATTGCCCACTCCATTCTGAATGGGAAAGACCAGAAACAAAATGAAAAGCTATACATTTTACTGTGTATAGAATATATCTCATTTTAAAAAAGGGTGGGGGGAGGATTAGACCAGAACACTATACAGCCCAAGAGTCTGCCCAGGGCCCAGAGACACAGGCAGGCTGTCTTGTAGGGCAGGCTCTGGAGGCTCAAATGCAGTGTGCCTCAGACCCTTGACCTGCCTGCACCATGACCCCCTCCCCTACTTATGAGTACCCTTCACCACCAAGCTAACTCATACTCATTTTTAGGCCTCAGGTTAAATCTTCTCTCCTGAAAGAGCCCTTCTCTGTGCCCTCCTTCATCTAAACTAAGTCCCTTTGACTTACTCTATCATTGTATACCATGTTCCTTTCCTTCAAAGGCCTTACCCACAGTTTGTGCATAAATACTACTATGAGCTTATTCGATGAGTATCTGTCCTCACCCCCACACCACGAACTCCATGATAGCAGGCAATGGGACTGGCAATGCTCACTGTCACAACCACACTGTCCAACAAAGTGCCTGGCACATAAAAGGCACTCAAACGTTTGGGCTGAATTGAATGAAAAAATGATCATCAATTCAGCCTCTCAAATACCTCAATCCAGGAAAAGGAGGTGTGTTCTGGATAAGGGTAGTAGATATTTTGGTCTCTAGAGAGGTCATCTGCCTCACAATAAATAAGGTGGAATTATGCTTTCAAGAAAAAAGAAAAGAAAAAAACCTTCATATCATATCAAATTTCCAGCACTTTAAATAAATAGTAAGATCCTTAATGACAACAAATAGTGTATCCCGTTCTCTGTTTAGCCAGTGATTTGTAGGGTTGCAGAGGGGAGCACATCTTCTGCCCTCTCCCTGACTGAGACATACCGCTGAGGCCTCACACCCTCACAGTCCAGACGCGTGCCTTTGGGTGAAGCAGCATTTTCCCTGACTCCTCCTTCAAGGCTCCAGATGGCTGAGGATAAGGGCAGGGCAGTGAAAGGGGGAAAAGGCACAGACAACATATTTCACAGCCGCATGCCCTGCTGAGACTCAGGCCTGGTGCTTTGCACCTCTACATGCGCAGAGACATTCAGCTGACTAATGTTGAAATAGGAGAACATTTTTAACAGCCTGACAATCCAATACCCAAAATCCCTGAGAAGAAATGATGACTGGGGAGAAGTAGAGTCACCCAGACCTTTAGCTCTTCCTTCACCAAGAGTTGGAATTAACATGAGTTAAAGACTTTCTGCTCTGGGGCCCAAGCTCATTCCAAAGTCTTGCAGCCTAGAGGTGAAGAGCATGGGTGCTGTGGTCAGGCAGGCATGAATGTGAGGGTCGTTCATCCACCTACTGGCCTTGTGACTCAGAGCAAATCACCTAACCTCTTTGGAGCTCCAGTTTCCTCCCAAGTTACCAACGAAGTTATTGTGAGGGTTAAATGGAAAGGTGCTATCAAACGGTGGGCTGCGAGTGTGCTCTACACCTAGCTCTTAGCTAGATCCGAGCTTACCTGGACATTCTCTTCGGTCACCTCGATTTCGGCTGTATAGATATAGTCAATCAGTTTACTCAGTGTCCGTCCATCCACGTCCTTGATTTCAATCTTCTTGGCTTTACTCTCAGACATGTCACCTACAGTTCAAAGCAAAATAAAATGGACATGAACTTGGCACTGATAATATGCTTAACTTTCACATGGCCTCCTGCCTCGTCTGGATAATGTAAAAGCACCGACTTCACTCTAGAAGGTCATGCGGCTGACATCAGGTCACTTCAACTTTGGGTCTGTGTTCATCCAAACCCAAATTTAAGCATTCCCCACTCTACCTGTTCCCCACTTCCATTTTGAAGGCAAATCTGTGTGCAATAAGTCATTCAACCAACTTGCTGTAAACATCTACACAGAAGGCCAGAAAAAGTGAAGAAGATATGCACCCATCCTCAAAGAGCACATGGTCACATCTAGTATAGGGCAGATTTATAAAAAAAATATTTATAAACAGAGGTGTTAAGAGCCAGGAGAGGTAAACACAAAGTAACCATGATAACAACAACAAAGAGTAACATTTATTGCTAACTATGACCAAGCATTGCCGTAGGAACTTTAATGTGTTGCCCTTTTTAATCTTCAGAACAACCTATGAAGTTTATTAATATTACCCCCATTTTATAGGTGAAGAAACTGAGGCAAATCTAGGAAGTGGCCAGGCTGGGATTAAAATCAAGCACCCTGACTCTAGAGCCTACACTTATAATCAAAACACTATATTAAATCCCAAGAATGCAGAAGACAGAGCAAGAAACCCTGCTCAGGAAACCCAGGAAAGCATCCTAGTAGGTCACTTTTGAGCTAGGTATTAGAGAATAGAGTATTCCAGAGGCAGCAAAAGTGAGGAAGGATGAGCTGGATGCAGCAACCATATGTGTAAAGAGAGCAAAGTGCCAAATGGATAAATTTTGGGAACAGTGAGAGGTTGATATGGCTGACACCAGGGGTAACAGTGAGAAAGGAAGCTGAAGAGGTAGATAGGAGCCAGGACTTATGACTTATAGAACTCTGAAAGCCATGCAGATGAGTTTGGACTTTGTGCTAAGAGTAGCACCACTGAAAGGTTATAAAGAGGAAAATGACATCAACAGATGGGTGTTTTTGAATGAATTTTGGATGCATGGTTGAAGCTGGATCCGAGGCAGGGAAAATAGTTGGGAATAATAACAATCCAGGAAGGAGAGGACCGAGGCCTATGAACGAGGGCGGCAGGAGCACCACATCTGCACAGTCCTGAGGCCCTTCACTTCAGCCTGCCCTCTCCATACTGCACAGAGGTCTGTCTAGAGCCAGGCTCATCCAACGGCTGCTAGCTTCAGAAGGAAACGGCAGGCAAGACATGTGTCTTTGTACACTGAAATAAAGGGCAACCTGACTGCAAGAAACAGGGATTCAGAAGCCCTCACGTGGGTGTGAAAACAGAGCTGGGAGGTTGTTTTCCCTCTGTGGAATTTGTGCACTGGAGCTGAGAAAATAAGCACAGTACATCATGTGGGCACAGACGCCTACCTCCAAGCCGCATGGACAGCACATGATTCCTCCACCAGTCCACATTCCCACCCTGACAGAGTTCTAGATATGAAGGTCTCTGGAACAGGAAGGAAAGAGGGGAAAACCATCCCAAACCTTGCCTGCTCCCTTCACTGCCAGATCAGGTGGATCACAGATCCTCCTTCTCTCTTCGCTCTGACTGCTCATGGAAGCCAGTCAAAAGGTCTTAGCACTTGCCAAAGAGCCCTGAGGCAGGAGGAAGAGGCAATGAGGAAACAAAAAAAAAAAAAAAGGACAACCTGACTGCAGGAACCAAGAGATTCGGAAGCCCTTAAGTGAGTTTGAAATCAGAGCCTGGCCTAATTATTTTGTCTGAAATGTGTGCCTGGGAGTCAGGTTAAGGTTTTGTAACTCCAAGGTAAACAAGTGGAAATTCCTGAAATTGTATGAACATATATACGGGCAAAAGTCTGAATTTTCAGGGAGGTGGGGGAGTGACAAATCATTTTTATCAGCCTCAATGTTAGTCAACTGAAGCCTTTGCGCATGTTCTCTGGACATGGATTTCTAGATGGTGGAACTTATCAGACTTCTTTTCTGCTTCTTAAACATGACTCTAAAATTACTAATTTTCTACATTAAGTACTTTAAAACTTCAATAAGCAATGGGAAAAAAAAAACATGAAAGAAAAACTAGGGCCTCAAAGATAATATTTATTTTCTAAGAAAGTTCCCTTAAGGAAATTGGAGACCTGTATAATTGGAGACTTGTAAAATTCAATCCTACCTCTTACAGACCAATGGAAATTACTGCACCAAAACAAGACTTCAGCTTCAATAGCCCCTGAAAGTGGCAGTAATAATAGTTGCTGCTATGTGCCAGGCCCTCTGCTAAGGGTTTATACACATTAATTCATTTAGCCTTGCAAAAACTCAGGAGATAGATATTACCTCCATTTTACAAATTATAGAATTGGCATTTCAAGAGGTATTTGCACATAGCTAGTCACAGGCTAGCATTTGAATCTTGGTCTTACTCTAGATCCCATGTCATTTCTAATAAATCCCTGTACAATTTAAACCTAACCTAACTAATGACCTTAATAAAAGTATTACCAAACCATCCCTTGGTCCAAACTCTGAGGACAACTTAGTACTTAACACCTAGCAAGCAAGAACCAAGAGGGATGGGATCTTGTCAAGCTTATTTTTCAAGATATCCTCAACACCTATTAAAGTGTGTGGTACATAACAAGCACTTAAAAATGCTTGCTGGAACAAGGAAAGAAAGAAAGAAGAGAGGTTTTCTCTGGACATCGTATAATCCCATGGACTCCAGTAATTCCTGCAGGGCAGAAACCATCAAAGGCTTGGTCATTCTTGCTTCTTCACTCACCTCTACCACTTTAACAAATATTTCTAGAAAACAGAATATAAACCCTGTAAGTACTTCCATCTTCAACATCAACCCAGGAGCTTCCTCTGCTGGTTTTTCCCCAGAGGCCCAGCCCAGCCACCTCAGACTCTGAACTTTCAGAAAATGTCTGTTGGTTGCACATCTTTTTAGCCCCTTCCATGTTCTGCTTGTCATCTGTTAACGTGCATGTCCTATTCCTTCAAATAGAACATGATCCACAAAGGGCAATATTTGTTGATTCACTCATTCATTCAGTAAACATATATCAAACAGACCCCGTGTTTGTTAGGGGTATGCTAGGCTCAGAGGACACAATGGTGAATAAGAACATCACCTGCCCTCATAGAGCTCAGTTTAGGAGAGAAACAAGTAAACCAACAATCACAAAGTATGTTAAATGCTAAAAAAGGGGGCTCAGCTTAAGAGGTTCTTAAAAACAGGCAATTCCTGTACCCTGAACTATATGCAAAATGATGAGCACACATCATATGTTTTGTAGAGTCCATTGTTTTCATCAAATTGATTCATGATGGTTAAGAACCACTACTCTAAAATGAGATCTGAAGAAGGAACCACAATTATTCAGAAGAGAAGTGAGTATGAGGGGAGAATATTCCAGGCAGAAAAAATAGTGTATGTAAAGGTCTGGAGGTAAGCAACAGCATGACCTGTTCAGGGACCATAAGAAGCTGAGTTTAGCAGAAGCATTGTGAGCAAAGACAGGAATGGGGAGATGAGGCTGGAGATATAAGCAGGGTCTGGAGCACTTGAGGGCCTTTCAGACCATGATGAGGAGTTTAGACTCCATTCTGAGAGCAATGGGGAGCCTCTGGCAGATGTCAAGCAGGTGAAGGATTCATCAGACTATATTTAGAAAGAGATCGCTATTACTACAGAACAGAGAATGGGTTGGGGGTGAGGGAACAAAATAGAAGGCAGGTTGACCAATTAGAAGGCTGCTGCAGTAAATCAGGTGAAAGATGATGGTGGTGAACTAAGGGACTGTCTTGAAACTACTTAATTTCTCACACTCCACCTTAGGACCTTGCACCTAGAAGTCTCCAAGGACCAGAGCAAGCAATCCCTGCCCTCCATCAGGTACAAGTGTACAAGTCATAGTTCTCGATCCTAGCAAGCGCAGCATATGCACAGCTGAGCTCTTTGTAGGTGGAAGACAGTCAAAGGGGAGAAGGAAGGAGGAGATGTGACCTGAGGAGCAAGGAGAAAACCTTTCACTATCACAGCAGACTCAAGAAGTCTAGAACATCACTGGCTTTCTTTCCAGGCCATTAGTATAAACCCCTCTCTGTTACTCAGCAAAAAGAAGCCTCAAGAATGAGAAAGGAATGGTAGAGTGGCTGGCAGATCTCTGAAGAACCAGTGCTAACCACCAACCACCCCTACAAAGTTATATGTCAGTGGGAAGAAAAAAGTATATCAGGAGTCCTTATGTTACAGAATTCTTCTTGTTCTTAACCTGAATGCTTACTGCTGCAATTTGTTCTGGGTAGAAAGAAAACAGAAGATCATTATCCTTTGCAAAATGATCCTTCTTGGGTGTTAAGATGGTTATTAAACTTTCTTTCCTCTAGTTCTCATCAATCTAAACCCCAATATCTGGGTTGGCAACTCCTCTGGCTAGAGCTGAGGTCTATGTCACACATTAACTTCACATGAGAAGAAATACCCTGCCACCTCCCTGAATCCTGGCCAACCCTCCTGAGGTGAGTGGTCTGGACTATTTAACAGTAAAAGGCTGACCTCTGTCTCCTGTGAAATAAGGACATTACCTATCCTGCCATTATTCTAAGGTTTGTGGAAATCAAAGGAGATAATGATAGTGTGAATTATGACAGCAGGAGTCAGCAGAGCTGCAGTGATGGGTATCACCCCATCACCCACCCTCCCCGAATCTCATCCCTCATCCTTTTTCCACATGGAAAGGTCTTTCTGCTCAGCTAGTGGCACATGGAGCCCCAAGTCAGGAAGAAAATGCCTGTGTAGCTACACAGACGCTTCAAATCCACCCCAACCACCATCAAGATGGCTGATATGAGAGCTATCCGTCACATCCACAGGAGCTTTGTAAACTATGATGTGCTCAACAAATAACGAGTAAACCCTATTCTGCACTGGGTGCTTTATTCCTATTATCTGTATTTGTGTCTGATTATAGTTATTATTCTATCTTACAGATCCAAAAATAGGATCACAGAGGTTAAGTGAATTGCCCACAAACCTATTAGGTGCTGGAGTCAGGAATGAAACCCAGGTCATTATGGCTCCAAAGACCTTTCCAAGACACTACACCATCTCCCAATACAAGGTGGCATTACCACCCTGTGTTTAACCCTTAGCAAAGAGGCCTCCTCATCAACAACACCTTCCTATATGAACATTTATAAACCATTCCTTACCAATGGTTTTATCCAATGATGAACTAAATTTTAAGGCTGAACTACTCGAAGTCCAAAAAGTCTACCCCAGACTATCTTGGTCAAACCAGCTACACTTTAATGAAGGGGGCTGGTGGATGTTTGAACAGCAGTCTCTCTTCCTAGACGCTGAACTCTGTTGAACTACAACCAAATCAATTCTTTATGAAACTCACCATTTCTGCATCAAGAGCAACATATTTTTAGACAAGACTTCTGTACCTCTCATCCTCAAATCTAGGTCTCCTAAGCCAGAAGAGGATGCCTGACTTTGATGTGATTTGTTAGGGACAGGAAAAAGAAACCCTATGTCACTGTAAGCTTCAGCCCAGAGGTAACTAAATCTAAAAGACAAGTCATATGGAAGATAAGGCCATTCCTCCTTAACCCCAGGCAGCCTCTGATGCCTCCGATCCTTTTTTTCTGAACTATTCTACCCAATCCCTGACTCCTCAGAGGCAAAACCCTCAGGAACCAGACCCTATCCACTACTACTCCTCCTCAATACCCTCCTCCTAGCCTTCTTTATCCAGGGAAAAAATTCAGTAGCCTAGTGTTCCCTCCCTCCTAGCCCCACTGCCTTGGATTAAGTCTTGTTGAGCTGCTTGTTATTGTGAAGATCTTCAAAGGCGTCAATACATCATGCAAACAGAACACAGGCAAGGGTCAGGGCCTGGCAGAGTCTGGCATGAAGAAAGGGTGAAAACAAAGGTTCTTTGGAATGGGTGCATGCCTGAGAGGTGAGTAAGAGAGCTAGACCTTCATTGTTCTGCTTTACAGATGGGTTGTGTCCACTCAAAGCCCCTTGCCTCTTACTCCAGCACATCCCTGACTCTCCTCCCTATTTCTACTCACCATACGTTCAAAGACGCCAGCTAAACATCAGCCTACATCTAATAAAAACTGGACAGCAACTCTTCTTTAAAAAACAAAAACAATCTATAATCAGCCTCTGCATATACAACCATAGGGACGGGACAGCTCGCTCCAGGGGCTTCATTTGGGATGGGAGCCCAAATGTCATGCAGCTATGATGACAGGTATGAGATACAGAGTCCACATATTCCTTAGAACTCAGTTCCTTTAACACCATAAAATGAGGTTATTTTTAAAGTATTTAGCCCAGCGTGGCTCAGTGGATTAAGCATAGTCTCATGGACTGAGAGGTTCCTGTTCAATTCCCAGTCAGGGCACATGCCTGCGTTTCAGGCCCGATCCCCAGTAGGGGATGTGCAGGAGGCAGCTGATCAGTGTTTCTCTCTCACATCGAGGTTTCTCTTTCTCCCTGCCTCTCTCCCTCTAAAAAAATCAATAAAAACATATTTTTTAAAAAATTTTTTAAATAAATAAAGTATTTAGATGACAAGTAAGGACCTATATAGAGTAGAGATAGATGCCCATGGTACACAGAACCCCCAGTAAAGGGCATGATAAAATGAGAAAAAAATGGACTAGGCTATTTTAGGAAAATTAGCTTACCCTGGGATATCGGTCCTAGATGGAGAAGATAGATTGGCGTTGGGATTGGATCTTAAGTATTCCATACTCACAGGAAAAAGATAGGCAGAACACAGCACTGCTGGCCTCTCCAATTACACTATACTGAAGGAGTGGAGGACCATTAGGCTGACTGCCCATCCCAGATCTTCCCCCAGGCTGGCTGCCGTAGGACACTTTCCTGTGAGCACTCAGACCTGTTTCACATTTATTCAAAGTTATTGTGAGCAAGACACAGTCAAGGAGGAGAGCTGGTATTTGGAACCATCACAGGACATTTGGGCAATATAAACTCGGAGGACAGAAAATAAAAACAGCTGAAGCCTGAGTAAGAGATTATAATCACATCAGTCAAGTCAGAAGAAAGTCACATGTATTTTGTTTTCTTTTTGGCCTTAAACATGCTGACAGAAATGGACGCTGCATGAGTCAGCTGGGCCTTTTCATTACTAATTTTATTAGTTTTAAAACTGAACCTGATCATTAAAACAAAATTTTGCAATGGTACTTTTTTTGTACCTGTTTACCAAGGTTTAACAAAGTCAAGGGCCTCAAAAAATATACAACTCTCACCCTGGCAGGTTTGAATCAGCAATTAGAGCGTCAATCTGTGGACCAAAGAGTCACAGGTTCGATTCCTGGTCAAAGGCACGTACCTCGGTTGCAGGTTCAATCCCTGACCCTGGTTAGGCTTGTGCAGGAGGCAACCGGTCAACGCGTCTCTCTCACATCGATATTTCTCTCTCTCCCTCCACTCTATCTTAAAAAAAAGTCAATGGAGCCCTGGCCGGTTTGGCTCAGCAGTTAGAGTGTCGGCCTGCGGTCCAGAGAGACCCAGGTTCAGTTCCCGCTAAGGGGCATGTACCTCGGTTGCAGTTTGTCCCCGGCCCTGGTTGGGTCGTGCAGGTGGCAGCCACTCGATGTGTGCCTTTCACATCCATGTATCTCTCTCTCTCTTCCTCTCTCTCCCTCCCGCTCTATCTGAACAAAAAATGAAAAAATGTCCTTGGGTGAGGATAAAAAAAAAATCAATGGAAAAAAAATGCACAACTTTCATCCACTGCTGATGGAAGCATGAGCTGGCACAGCTGTCCTGAGCTGGAGCGTTGCAGCACGCATTTCCCAAGTCTTCAAAACGTACATATCCTTTAGTCAAATATTTCTTATTCTTGGGACCTATTCTAAGGAAATAATCAGGAATGTAAATAGAGATTAAGATATAAAGATGCCATTATGATATTATTTACAGTAGCAAAACATTAGTAAGAACTATAATTTCCAACCAATAAGGAAATGCATTTTCAATTAGGATATATAGGATGGAATCTTAAGAAGCCATTAAAATTATGATGTAAATGTGATTTAATTGGAAAAGATATTCAAAATATACTGTTAAGTTCAATTAAACAAATTTTCATTGAGCACCTACTATATAGAAGACCATAGTAAAGACACAGCAGTAAATTTTAAAAGTACAGTTCTTACCCTCATAAAGCTATGACTGACCTGGAAAGTCAGATTTAAAAAAATAATGAGATAAATAGTAATATTAAAGAGAAGCATAGGGTACCATGAGAGTAAAGCAAATAAATTTAACCTAATCCAAGGGCATCATGGAAGGCTTTCCTGAGGAAGTGATGCTTAAGTGGTAATGAAGGATAAATAGGAGTCAGGCAAGCACGCAGGCAGAGAAGAAGAACATTTCAGGAAAATGAACAGCAATTTTTTTAAGTGTATACATCAATAAAGTCTATTCAACTGTGATATATAGAATGAACTCATTAATGTTAAAAATATATTTTGTATGTACATATTTATAAATACACATAAACACATGTATATATTTATAAATATAAATATAAAATCTGAAAAATATAAATTATACTCTTATCAAGAGGTTACATTCATGTAATTTTTAATTTTTTTCTTGCCCTCTCTTTCTAATTTTTTTCCCGCAATGAACATATGTGATTAGTGTGTGGATGGATGGATAGTAACCAGATTCAATGAAAGGCTTTGGCTGAGCATCACAAAATGTGCCTGCCCTCACCCATTCTTAGCAAGCCTACATTAATTTTTTTACCTTCACTTGTTAACTATGTCATAAATACCAGGCCCTGTGGTGGGCACTAAGGATTCAACAATGACATGATATGGTCCCCAAGTGCCCAGACTTCACAATCAAGTGTGAGAAACATTTCACTCGTTCATTTAAAAAATATGAGTCCTACTGTGTACCAGGTTCTCAGGATGTAGTAACAAGTCCAACAAGATCCCTGACTTCATGGAGCTTACAGTCTAGTGAGGAGAGATAGGTAATTAAACATATAACCAACCAATAGAATTTTCAGATAGTGATCTTTGTTATGAAAAAAATATATAGTCAAGTTATGGGTTAGAAAAGAGACATAATGGGGAACTATGGCTAGACTGGTCAGAGGAGACTTCTAGGAAGCAGAGACATTTGATCTGTAAACTGCAGGATGAGAGGCAGCCAACACACGAGACACCAGAGCACAGGCACTGCAGACACCAGGAAAGAGACAAGGATGCAGGGTAATAATGACCACACTCAGAGGAAGCACAGGGTACTTGGCAAACATGTGGAAGAGAGACCTGATGCAGTCCATGCTCTTACCAGCCCAGCTGGCCTTCAGTCAGCAGTGATTTATAGAGCACCGCATGTACCTATTTCAGGGGAGGTGCTGTGAGGCACTACAGACCAGAAGCTCAGACATGGGTTTCAAGGAATTCAGTTTCAGAAACAGCACATGGGAAATAGTTGGGCAAGGCTATTTGGCATGGTCAGGGAAGAGGCACTCCTTGGAAAGTTGGCAAGGATGATGAAAATAAATGACCCATAGTTAATATTCTTGCCTTACTCTCCCCCACCCCAGGTCCCACTATCACCTCTCCCACACTCCTGTGAAGGCCAGAGGAGGCCCACAACCCCTGCCTCCCTGTAAGGGAGGGCAAGGAAGAACCAGATGTGGGCCAGCCCGTAGAGCACTGGGCCAGCCATCAAGAGGCCAAGTTCCACTCATTCTCGGTGTAACTTTGGGCAAGTCCCTTCTCTTCTTTCCGCTTCAGTGTCCCCCATCTGCAAAATGAGAGATCAGAAGCCCTGGGGACGAACCCAAAAGTTTATATTTTTCACAAGCTCCCCACATGATTATGGTAGATACCAAAGTTTGAGAACTAATGGACTACAAGAGTCTACCTTTCTTTGCCTCATGGTGGACAAAGGGCTGCATACCCAACTGGTCTGGCTGAGACTGTAGTTCCATCAAGTCCTCCATAGTGCAAAGCACAGTATCTGGCAATAGAAGCTCCACATGGTGGGTGTTACAGCCTTCTCTTTCCTCCCTCCTCTCATGCCACCACCCTCAATATTCTCCCAGGGGGACTACAGCCTCCTAGTTGTGGGTTAGTTTCCCTTCAGCATACCTGTGAACATTGCACAGAAGTAGGGGCTGCAGGCCGCCAGGACCACACGATGGGCTTCTATCTCGACATCTTCCGCCACAATCATCACGTCACACAACAGCTGCTTACTGTAAGACACCAGTGAGGGGACAAGATAGGTCACAGCACCAACACCCAATCCAGTCATACAAGGGTATTTTTCCTTCCACCCAGATTCCACACTATCACCATGTAAAGCTGTCATAGAGACCTGCCCTATCTTGAGTTAAGAAGGGCGATGGACTCATCAATATTTCCAAGCCCCCGAAAACCTGACATTCAAGCTTTCCTAAGGCACACAGAGTGATCCAACTAGCCTGGGGCTGCAAATTCAGAGTTCCTTTATTTGTCTTCATGTCTCTGCTCCCCACTCCATCAGCTCTGACTGAGACAGGAGTATGACAGCTCAGGAAACAGTGGGAAAAGCCTGGGGCTGCCAGTCAAGTGAATGAATGAATGCTGAGAGTCATAAGCATGTCACTGAGAGGTGCTACCAGCGACAATAAGTATTAACAATTCCCCAAGAGATCCATTGCCTGGCAATATTGTTAGGAGGCCAACCATATCTAGAGGATAAACATATTTCTCCTCCCACCCAGATTCAACACTATCACCAAGAAAACTCTGCCTGTACACTATGCTCCCTAAAGACCCTGTACAAATGCCAATCGTTGCAATTATTAAGAACATGGTAACTGCCTTTTTACTTGTTTGTCAATCCCACTACACTGTGGACTCTGAAAGGAACTTGCATACCTAGCCCATAGTAGGCCCTAAATTTTTACTAAATAGATGAATGAATTTTGAAATGGGATCAATCCACATAAGTAGATAGAATAGAAATTTGGCTACTTTGGAAACTGAAAGGGTGCTGCAAGGCCATCAACCCAAGAATTTTTCCAATACCAGCCTTAAAATTTCTTATCCTGTCTATTATTAATATAATGATTAACATTAATAGAGTTATATGTGACAGACACAGTTCTAAGCACTCTTTCACATGTATTGCTTCATCTAATCCTCTGTACAACCTTATGAGGTAGGACTACTGTTATGCCCAACATTACAAACAAGAAAATTGAAGCCCAGAGAAGGTAAGTAACTTTCCCAAGGTCACAGAGAAAGAGAACAGTAGAGACAGGATTTAAATGCATGCAGCTCAGCCCTAGAATCCATGCTCCTAACTTTTATGGTATCCCATCACCACTAGTTCCTCCTTTAGAATGAAGCAGTATAGGTGGGAGGGAAGACAGGTAGGACAAACACATTTCAACTGTAATTCATTGGTAGTAGTTAATTAAAACACTACAGTGATTGAGAAGTCTGAGGTCATGACTAGGTTCCATGTGAGAGTGATGAATGTAATGAGTCTCCCATTGTTGACAGATGAAAGAGAAGGGACATATCTGCCATCCTTGGTGTATCATTAAACCATTGCCAGCTACTATAATATTAGTCCAGGTTCACTTATCAGAGAAATAAAATCATAAAGCCTGAAAAGTTTGGACCTGCAGATGTGCTTAGAGATTATCTAGTCTATGAAGCTCAGAAAAGTGGCCCAAAGATACAGAAACCTGAGTCTTGAATACAGATCCAGTACCACAATGCTTCATGACTGGCTGACATTTGTATGGAAAAAGACCGAAAATAGGTAAACTCCAATGGGGAAAGGTGATCAGGAAAATTTTAACATATGGAATAAAGTATCAGTGAGAGGGCTTCTGCAAAGGATGACACCTCTGAGCACCAAGAGGCAAAACCTGGGGGATGGGACCTCACCCTGCAGTGGGCAGCAGACCCGACACACAAACTTTATCAGAATAGGCCAGCTCAACTGGAAACATACTGGCTCTGCCTTTAACTGGCTATGAGAACATGGACAAGTGACCTTACCAGTCTTCTCATCTTTATTAGCTACCTTGGGACAAACATCATGGGGACCAAATGGGTTTGCAGATGCCACCTGAGAACAGATTGGTTTTTAATCTAGACAAATTGTATGGTAAAAATGTATTCCCAACATGAATAAGTTCATCTTGGACATTTTCATTTCTAGTAAAGATTTTAGGGGGAAAATGAAATTACCACTGCTATTTAAAAGTACAGTACAGACCTGGCCGGTTTGGCTCAGCGGTTAGAGCGTCGGCCTGAGGTCCAGAGAGACCCGGGGTTCGGTTCCCGCTAAGGGCACGTACCTCGGTTGCAGTTTGTCCCAGACTCTGGTTGGGTCGTGCGGGTGGCAGCCACTCAATGTGTCCCTTTCATATCGATGTTTCTCGCTCTCTCTCTCTCTCTCCCTCCCCCACTCTATATGAACAAAAAATGGAAAAATGTCCTCAGGTGAGGGTAAAAAAAAAAAGTACCACAGGCCGACGCTCCAACCGCTGAGCCAAACCAGCCAGGGCAGTACAAGTGATTTTTTAATAATCAGTACTTTAATGAAGAAAGTGTTGACATAGATGGATCAGAAATACTGACCAGTTTTCAGCACTAGGTGCCAAACAAGCAAATGTCAGAGAGGGATATCTTGCACAAATGCAGAGCTGACAATTCATGAACAAATGAGAAAGAGACAAGAAGGAACGAAGAATAAAGATGGAGAATCCAGTTAAGCAAATGAATGAGAGCAGTTCTAATGAAACATAAGTCTATCTCAAGGCCAAAAAAACTCTAACCTGGGAAAGTGACCAAGAAAAACTTGCCAAAAACTCAAGGTAGGCTTTCCCTGCGGGTGGGAAAGTCAGTCTGCACACTGGAGCCATTTCTATGTATCCACTCTGCATGGAAAAGGGGAGAGGCAGCTCCAAAGCCCTGCATGGCTCACAAGTACTTCTAATTCCACTTACCAGAGATCCTATAGGATCCTTTTTCTCTGAGCTATCACACTACTCCAAAAGACAATCTTGAGGAAAGAAAAGTAGAGCTCTATACTTTGTGATTTATGGAGAATTACAGTATAGCTGTTAGTAAGGAGCACAGACCCTGGAATCAAACTGACCAGGGCTCATGTCCCCTGAGTCAAAACTGAAATGTGTTGTAATCAAGATAATGAATAGTGATAATAGTAAACATTCAGTAAATGTTAACTTATTTCTTTTCTTCTTTTTCCACAAAATACTTCATTTAAAATTAGAGGTTAAGTTTGAACCACATGTCAGACATCTAAGCAAGGTTATTAAGCAGGGAAGTGGATCCATAAGCCTGGAGTTCAGAGGTAGGAGATAGTTAAGAGGTTGTGTAGGGATAGGAAGAACCAGCATAAAAGATCTGACAGCAGTCATTGAGAAAAGAGAAAAACCAAGAGTTTTGTATCTTGAAGCCAAGTGAAGAGAAGGCTTTAAGAAGGAAGGAATGAAATACTGTATCATAAACTACCTATAAGTAAGATAACATTAGAGTTGCTAGATAAGGCAAATAGGAAAAAAATAAAACTAGTCTATTTGCAGATGACAATCTGTATATAGAAAATCCTAAGGAATCCACTAAAAACTATTAGAACAAATAAATGAGTTCAGGAAGGTTACAGAATACAAGATCAAAATTTAAAAAATCAATTGTATTTCTATACACTTGCAATGAACAATCCAAAATTCCATTTACAAAGAAAATTCCATAAGAAAAATTCCATTTACAATAGCATCAAAAAGAATAAAACACTTAGGAATAAATTTAACAAAAGAAATGTAAAAATTATAAAACACAGTTGAAAGAAATTAAAGAAGACCTAAATAAATGGAAAATAAATGGAAAAACCTAAATAAATGGAAAAATCTTCAGTTTTTATGGATTGAAAGATTTAATATTGTTACAATACTCCCCAAATATATTCTACAGATTAAAGATAATTAAAGATATCAAAATCCCAGCTGGCTTCTTTGCAAAAATTGACAAGCTGAACCTAAAATTCATATGGAAATACAAGAGACCCAGAATGGCCAAAATAATCTTGAAAAAGAAGAATATAATTAAAGGATACACTAATTTCAATAAGAATCTAAGTAGGTAGGTAGGTAGGTAGATAGATAGTCCAGAAATAGACACTTCCTCAAATTTACAGTCAATTGATTTTTTTACTTGAAATCATTTTTATTTTTCAATTACATACAATATTATATGTTTCAGGTGTACAATCCAGTGATTAAACATTATAAAACTTATTAAGTGATCATCCAAATAAATCTCATACCCATCTGACACCATAGTTATTAGAATATTATTGATTATATTCCCTATGCTGTACTTTACATCCCCATGACTATTCTGTAACTACAAATTTGTACTTCTTAATAATTTTTACCTTTTTCACCCATCCTCCTAACCTGTGCTCCCATCTGGTAACTGTTAAAATGTTCTCTGTATCTCTGAGTCTGTTTCTGTCCAGCTTGTTCATTTATTTTGTTTTTGTTTTTTATTCAATTGTTGATAGACATGTATTTATTGTTATTTTATTGTTCATATTCTTATATTTCTTCTTCTTCTTCTTCTTCTTCTTCTTCTTCTTCTTCAAGAAGACCTTTTTCATGTAACACTAGTTTGGAGGTGATGAACTCCTTTAGCTTTTTCTTGTCTGGGAACCTCTTTATATGTCCCTCAATTCTAAATGATAGCACTGCTGGGTAGAGAAATATTGGCTGTAGATCCTTGCTTTTCATCACTTTGAATATGTCTTGCCAATCCCTTCTGGCCTGCAAAGTTTCTGTTCAGAAATCAGCTGACAATCTTATTGGAACTCCCTCGTAGGTAACTGTTTTTCTCTTGCTGCTTTTAAGATTCTCTTTTTTCTTTAACTTTTGGTATTTTAATTATGATGTGTCTTGGTGTGGGCCTCTTTGGGTTCATCTCATTTGGGGCTCTCTGTGTTTCCTGGACTTGTATGTCTATTTCCTTTCCAGGTTAGAGAAGTTTTCTGTCATTATTTTTTCAAATAGGTTTTCAATTTCTTGCTCTTTCTCTTCTCCTTCTGGCACACCCAATATGTGAATGTTGGTATGCCTGAAGTTGTCCCAGCGGTTTCTTAACACTATCCTCATTGTTTTTCCTTTCTGCTGTTCTGTTTGGGTATTTTCTGCTTCCTGATATTCCAAATTGC